ACAAAGACTGGCGCTTAAAGGCTTTAAGGTAGGCTGCGTCGACCTTCAAAAACCCACAATGACAACTCTGAACAGAAAGCCCCACAATTATGGAGATTGCATCTCAAGACACTTTCCAATCAACCAGGTCAAATCGAACGTTAAAGAAAGCAAGCAGGCTCGCCTGCCATACGGCCGGTGGCTCTTGGGGGGTTGCATCCTGCAAAAGCAAAATCTAATGGCTTGGGGTCCGCGGGTTTAGACTTTTAGGTTTGTTAGGGTTTAGGTTTTAGGGTTTGGGCTTTTATAATAAGGTAGACAGGACTCCGCGGGCATTCTCCGTAAAACCAAGCCAACAAACTGTCCAGCTGCATATACAACACTGACACCCAAAACCCTTAAAGCCTCAACAAAATGTGAAACCGTAAACCCTAATTACTTTAAATAATTAACAGGATCCTCAGTATAAGGAACCCCACATAGGGACCCCTTGCTGAAACTCCCACATGCCCAAAACTTGGCAGCACTGGTCGGGCAGCTAATCCAACATCCGAGGCTTTAAGGCCGACAGAACGAGGAACCTCGCAGCAATGCACACCAAGAGATCCGTGTTTGGTGTAAATTTGCGGGTGAAGCTCAACACATACGGGAGAAACAGAAAACGCCAATGTAGAACCCTGGACTGCCGGATCCTCACTGTCAGGACCGCCAAATAAGGAACCCCAGTTTTTGGGAACTCCTACACCCTTTTGCTTGCCCCTGTCCGGGAATCTCATTCGCAACCCTTCTACGCAGTTCCGGCCTGGAGCGTTTGGAGCGTAGGTTGTACAGGCTCTGCAGGAACCTGACTACTGGGCGTTTGAGTTTAGGTGGACAGATAGATACAACATAGATTGATGGACAGACAGAAGGACACACAGACAAACAGACGGTTAGACAGACGGACGGAGAGATAGATAGACGGATGGATAGATAAGTCACATTAATTAGTTGAGGCACGCGTACATAGAAAGAGACATAGAAACATAGATGCCTACAGACGCTGCTTCAGATACATAGATGTGACATGTATATGTGTCAGATAAAACCATCGACACACACACACAGGCGGACAGAAAGAGACGCAAAGAGACAGACAAACAGATGGATCATGTTGTCGCTAGATACATGCGACCTGCTTGGTAGCAAGTGGCGGCGTGCTGAATTTCTTCAGTGACCCGTGGCTGGGAGAAGAGGATAGGTCTTTGAAAAAGACCAAACAGACCAGCAGAAAGATTACTTTGAGAGCGCCGCGTGGGCAAGGACAGGAAGTTCAGACAGCTGATTTTTCGTTGTGACGCTGCGAAAGCTGTCGGCAAAGAACTGAGCACGCTCACCAAGAGGGATTGGGGCTTGCGCCGGTAAGCTGCGTTGCGAGAGCAGTTTGCGTTGTTTAGCCAAGCGATGGCCACTAACTGCTTGAGCAGTGGATTCAGGAACACCCGCGCAAGAAAATTTGAGGAACCGAGTCCTTTGGCCCAGGCACCCGATCTAAAGCAGAGTCCCCCCCGGTTTCCTCCACTCTTCAGAGCCGTGTCTGTGGCTCTACGTTTGCGTGCCGAAAGCACAGCTCGTCCGGCACGCGGCTGCTTGAACACGTGCAAAGCAGTGGTTCTCAGCACGTTTGTGTACCCAGCATCTTGTGGGCACCTGTAGGCATTGCATACATTCCCTGTCGACGCCGCGACGTGGCTCATCTTCGTCAGCTCACTTCAGCAATTGGGAAAATTGTCTGGTTTGCGCCGCTGGAGAATTCGCCAACAGATGGAGGCTTCTTGCATCCTCTGATACTTTGGAGCCCAAATCAAAAGAGTTTGACAGACCTTTGGAAAATGTTGGAGTCCCTGAGCCCCAGCATGGCAGCTGAAAAGGGTGCAAGCCAGGTCTTAGGGCTTTGGTGGGCTTTGGCGGGTTTTGGGTGTTGGGCTTCAGGGCTTTAGGCG